TTAGGCAGAATGTAACGCACTATTAATTACTAAAGAGTAACTCTATTGTCAAAGGAGTATGTTGATATAAGGAACAGAATCCAATGCAATAAGCCCACTTAGCTTTGTTTTCTCAAAACAACAGGTTAATAGTATAAAAAGTATGCACAGATACACTGATCTCAAGAAAGGATTCTTGCACAAGGTGCTTGTTTGAAAGGATATTACAATTAAGCACTGAGGGGTTTATTTACTAAAGCTGGAGAGTGCAATATCTGGCTCACTTCTGCATAGAAACCAATCCGCTTCCAGGTTTTATTGCCAAGGCTTAAAGTGTTACTAAACCCACAACAGTAAAATCAGCCTGTATACACAGTAAAGCATGCTTGTTATACTCACTGTGGAACCTAAGGGGTTAATCCTCTGCATTGTGATGAAACACTATCTTTTCTGATCCTCCCCTTCTTATAGTGTCCCCTCTTATCTCCTGATAAGACACATCGTGTGGAGTCACTCTGCACATGCTCAGTTTGGTGTGTATTGCTAGAGGTTTTTTTTTTTCTTGGGAGAGTGCATGTGATCAGCACAGAGCCAATCAGCACTGTCCAGGCAGAGGTCAGGGGTCCTTCTTCCCACTAGAGCAGAACGAAAACTCGTCTTACAAGCTTTAACCAGTGCTCTGCTGGACACTGATAGAAGTCACAGGTCTGCTCTAACTGCTGAAAAGGTAGGTATTTAGCAGTTTCTATTTATATTTACTAAAATAATTGCACTTCTATGTTGTGTGTACTGTGGGAGAACAGATATAGTGACTACAAGGTCCCGGGTTTAGTAACACTTTAAATGAACAACCTGAGCTTAGAAGCTAATTGGTTTCTATGCAGAAGTGAGCCTGATTTTTCTTCAGATATGTGAGATAATGAGATACATGAGTCATCCACAGTAAGTATAGTGGGGATCGAACATCAAATAAAACAGGTAAAGAACAGATATACCAGTGTATTTGACAAATAAAACTGTTCAAGCAAAGATCACTTATCACTTAACCTCCCTGGAGGTATTCCCGAGTGTAGCTCGGGGTAATGTTTAAGCACCAGAAGCGGTAACCCCGAGCTACACTCGGGAATACCTTGCAGCGTTACTCAGCGATCCCTTCTACACCTACCTTGTGCTGCGCTCCCATGATGTCCCCCCTGCAGCGTCCCCGACCATCTCCTCCGGCCGATGCCGGCATCTGTCTTCCGGGTTTCGTTCCCTGTGACGTCGGGACGTATGGGGACGGAAAGGCGGGAAATTTAAAAATGTCAAAAAGTGACATTCACTCAATACACTAAAATCACATAGTATAACATTACTGTACCAAACCATTTCACATACATTGTGTCCCTAGTGCTTTGTCCTGTGCCCTGCCTGCATTTTTACTGTTCTTTCTGCTTTGAAACTGAGAAATGTCCATGGTGTCCAAAAAGCGTCCCTTTAGGTCAAAAGCGGTTTTAGATCAGCTAGAGGACAGCGATAGTAAATTAGAACCACTTGCAGAATTGAGTGATAATGATTTGTGGGGAAATTCGTCATCAGACACTGAAAACGATTTTGCGACTTTGCTCAGTGAAGTGCGAACTTGGCGCTCTATTTCAAATTTCAGTGTTTTTGGTTTGATTATATTATTCAACTAAATTTATTATTTTTATATTATTATTATTTTTTATGATTATTTATTAAATTATAATTTATGATTTCGTGTTTCAAATTTTAACATACCCGGGATGTTTACTAGACTCTTGTTCGGACAGATTTCAGTGAGTTATTCCTAAAAATGACAGGCCTACAATAAAAAAAATACATATTTCCAAAAAAAGTACCGCTTTGAGCACAGAAATATGGACATAATCAGACCGCTAGGGAGGTTAATAATGACAGACGGGTTCAAGAGCAGAACAAGCCATCACATCCATACCAGTGGGCATAGTGGGAATGTTGCATCATAATGAGATCTCAGTTAAGCACAAACAAGAAACATGACAGGGGAAAGGAAAAAAAAAAGGAAGGGGAGGGGAAGTGTTATATTTTGTATCATATTCCCACTTTGCTATTGTGTTTCACATTTTTTTTGCGCTGCTTTTGTTTGTCTTTATTTGTCATTGTTTCATGAGGTAATTATTGGATTATTCACTATTAGGGCAGCTACATGTTTAAACATTTTATGTACTCATTTATTTATTTAGGTGAGTGATATATTGCGCACTTTTTGAGGCGTCAGGTCTTATATATTTTCACATCACACTTACGTGGTGAATATACGGTTTTATATATTGATTTTACTATTAAGGGTCGTTGTTTTTTATGATAATTTAAGGTGAGACCTGAAAGGTGCAAAAGCTTATGTAATAAAGCTAATAGGTTCAGTGAGGTTATATGAGGAGCCGAGACATACAGAAGTAGATCATCATCAAGAAGAGCACATTGATGCTTCTGCTGGCCACAGAGAACCCCTCTGATATCCGGAAGAGAGCATATAGCAACAGTGAGAGGTTCGATTGCCAGTGTGAAAGGTAATGGAGATAAAGGGCAACCTTGTCAGATGCCACATCAAATAGAAAAGGGGGAAGATTTGTAGCCTTTCAAGGAAACCTGAGCCAGAGGAGAGAGCAATATAAGGCTTTCAGTAAGGAATGAGACGCCAAACCCAAAGACTATTAATGTTTTAAATAGGTAGTCCCAAGATATGAAAAGCCTTATGGAGGTCTAACAATAACAACATGAGCTCTCTAGAGGAGTCCCGGGTCCCGGTTAGTGGGAACCACCGAGATCAGCGCCAATGTCCTACGGATTTGATTGAGCATTTGCCGACCACGAATGAAACACAATTGATCTTTATATATGTATGTTTCTAAGAAGTTATTTAGTCATAAAACAAGAACTTTGGTGAAGATGTTCAGGTCCCAGTTGATTATATTTGTCCTTTTTATTATCTATTTTATTTAAAAAAAAAACAAAGTAAAATTTGATGTATGAAATTAGCACATTTTAAAAACAATTTTTATTAACACCACCAAGTACATCCTCACATTTAAATTACTTCTGTAGCACTGCACCCTTAAGGATTGCTTAGTAATTTTTGGGTTCCCTGTCAATCTGAACCTTTTGTTGAAAGCCCAGCCTCTGCTGACACCACCGTGTTCTCGTGACCAAAGTAAATCACAATTGTAAAATGGACTTACACACAAGTTAGGATATAACAATGTGAAGTTTATATTGGAAATAAAGGTAACTTGGTCAAAAAGAACAAAATTATATTGATATATGCAGCAAATAAATCACTCTTGGTAGTAGTGAGCAAAAATAACAACATTCACAGCAAAAACAGCAAAGTAACAATAATTGTTAGCAGGCCTGCTTTCAGAAATAATCCAATGTCTCCAATCTGAGGGACTGCTGAATACCCAGTGAGCAGAAAAAACTATCAAGAAACAGGTATGCTCACTGTGGATCCTCAGAACTAGGTGATAAGAATTAGATGTGAAGGAAGGAGAATTCTCATTTGAAATTGAGCACTGTCCCTTTAAGAACACTACAATGTCTTCTACACGCTTGCTGGGGCCTAGTTGGCATGAAGTTGAGCTGAGGTGTGGAATATAGCTCCTTGGTATGGTAACACAAGAATTGTGAAGGAACAAGGGAGATTTAACACTTTTCCGCTTGGTATCGAATTAGGGCAGGGTGCCATTTAAAGCAGTAAACATGGGCAAGCTTGGGGTAATGAATAACAAAAATTGGCATAAATGTCTATAGGCAAAGACAACTCCCTCTGGACATCAAAGGCAAAAATCAACAATAATGGGAATCCTGCTTTGTTGATGACAGGAAACTTGCTTCAGTTGGTGCTTCTGTATCCTGGCTTGCAACTGTATGTTTTGCGGTCAGCGTGTGCAATGAACTGTAATGTAGATGTTTCTCAACGATGGCGGCTGCGAGAACTAGGCCGCAAACTGAGGCAACTATATGTAACGTTCACAACTATGTGTAAACAGATAGCTGAGGTGGCAAGCTGTCAGTATTCACTTGATTAGTGGGTGCATAGGTCTCTCTCACCTGATCAAAGTAGTCCAGCAGATCATAGAGGTCTGTCTTTCTCTGCAAATGGGTCAGTCCACCGACTTTCTGTCTCAGACTCAGCATCTGGTCTCCTGCTGTCAGACTGTCCTGCTGGGCAGCATGGCAGACTGAGTGGTCAGTAGTCTCTTTCCAGTCTTCCCCCCTCTCCAACCCTGACTCTTTCTATTTACTTGTATTGGCAAAAAACATTATTTCTAGAGTTTTTTTTCATCATCCTGAATATGAAGTAGTAGCAAGAGCAGTATGTATTGTGGCTTTAAAAATGGTACCTGAGCACAAAGCATGTCTTGTTAAAGGGACTTCATGGAATCGAACAATTCATTAAAATGCTTTTAAGATACTAAGTGGCTTTTTTTAAACAAATGCCTGTCACCTTCCTCATTGGCATATTGAAAGTGTTAATAAAATGCTTCCCTGTTTCAAAAGTCTTTGTGTGTGATTTTCATCAATGGAGGCTTTGATTCAGTCATTCTGGAAAATAGGTTTTTAACCACTTGCCTACAGGGCACTTATACCCCCTTCCTGCCCAGGCCAATTTTCAGCTTTCATCGCTGTCGCACTTTGAATGACAATTGCACGGTCATGCAACACTGTACCCATATGGCATTTTTATAATTTTTTGGAGACAGATAGAGCTTTCTTTTGGTGGTATTTAATCACCTCTGGGTTTTTTATTTTTTTCTAAACAAACCAAAAACCAATGAAAATTTTTGAAAAAAAACGTTTTTTCTTAGTATTTGTTATAAAATTTTGTAAATAAGTGATTTTTCTCCTTCACTGATGTGCGCTAATGAGGCTGCAGTGATGGGCACCGATAGGCTGCACTGATGGACACTGATAGGTGGCACTGATGAGGAGGCACTGGTAGGTTGCACTGATGGGCATTGACAGGCATCACTAATGGGCACTGAAAGGCAGCACTCATATATGGCACTGATAAGCGGCACTGATAGGCAGCACTGACTGGCACTGATAGGCGGCACTCACTGGCAAAGTTAGGTGGCACTGACTGGCACTGTTAGGCGGCACTGATAGGTAGCACTGACGGGCACTGATAGGCAGCACTGATGAGCACTGGTAGGCAGCACTGACTGGCACTGATAGGCGGCACTGACTGGCACTGATTGCCAGCACTGATAGGTGGCACTGACTGGCATTGATAAGTGGCACTGACTGGTACTGATAGGTAACACTGAAAGGCAGCTCAGATGGGCACTGATATGTGGCATTGATGAGCACTGACAGCTGGCACTGATGGACACTGACAGGTGGCACTGCTGGTGGCTACACTGATCATCAGGGCACACTGATCATCAGTGCCCTGATGATCAGGGTACATGTCCTCTCTGAGAAATGCCGATTACCGGCTCTCCTCTCCTCTCGAGCTGTCAGCGTGACAGCTTGTAAGGAGAAAAATGGCAATACCTGGCATTTCCTTATTTACATGTGATCAGCTGTGATTGGACACAGCTGATCACATGACTGAGCTGACATATTTGGCTCTTTCCGTTGATCGGTGAATCGCTATGTCCGAGGGACACAGCGCACCACCAATCGCCGCGCTGCGCGCTCCCGGAGCTGCGCATGCGCGGTTAGAATGGGAGGACATCATATGACGTCCTCCCAGAATGAGAGATCCGCCTTGGACCCGTCATTACCTTATATGGCGGGTGGGAGGCGGTTAAAGGAACTCTCATAATAGGTAAGGTCTACCTTGAATCCATACAGAGATACACAGAGTTGTTTTCTCACTGCCAGTAGAAACAGAGTGAGTTTCCTGCTTCCTCTTACTCTAAGGGTCCTTTATGTTAGGCCTACCATTTGTCTATTTGTCATTTTTCCCTTTTTGGATGGAGAATGAACAGCGATTTATTCCTATGTGCTTTCAGATGTAAGGAGATGATCATCCATTTACATTCGCTTACCTCTGTGTCCATTCCGTTCTGATCCGTTTTTTTGTTTAACAGAACAAGGCTACATCTCTTTCTGTTTAGATGGATCTGAACAGATGTAAACAGATGTTGTCTGTTTACATCCGTTCTGTTTATGTCTATTTTTAGGCAAGAAATATATTTCTTGCTTATCCTTTTATAAATTATGATTAGTTAGTTCAACAGCTACAAAACATTGCAAAAATGGATGTGGAGTGAACTGAAGACAGATGTGCAAACTGTGATTTGTGCAGATCAGATCACTATTCATCAGTGTTTTCTTAGCCAAAAATGTGACTGAACTGATGACACCTGTGTGAAAGGACCCTAAACCCCTCAAGGCTGGTGATACTATGTATGTCTTATCCTGAGACAAGTAAGAGATTGTTTGGAGGGTTAAAATGATGGTAGTTGGCTGTACAAAAATGTGGCAACCACCCCAACCTATAACTGGCCTTTGCAGCAAAGTGCACATGGAAGGGCAATGCACATCACAAAAAAACAAAGGATTTCCCAGCACACCTACCAGCCAGCCTGCAAAACAACTGAATTGGCCCTTCCACATACACCTTGATGCAAAGGCTAGTTATAGATTGGGGTTGTTGACACTTTTTTTTTTCAGTTGGACAAATTGGTTGTAGGGACATACTGGATGCTTTGGGTGAGGAGGTGACAGCCCATCTGCAGCACTTTGACTAGATATCCAATCATTTATAAAGAGGTTGCAGACACTGTGCATGCAGGCTCCGAGGAAGGGGCAAGTCCAAAAACACGTTAGCCTATTGGAGGTCCAGTGTTCCTGTGCGGATCACCACATCAGGCTGACTGGATATTGCAGTTCTTTATGATGAGCTTTTAAATCATTGTCGTTTGTGAGTATATCACTATCTGCTACTTTAATTAATAAATGTCATTTAGGTAATACACTAGGCCAGTGCATCCTCTGTTTGTTTCTTTACATCTAGTGTTCTGGACTTCCCTGGTCCTTTGAGGGTAGCAAGGCATGCAACATCCAGGATCTCCCATGCAGATCCATAGTCACAACGAGTTCACCTCCAAGCGCAGGAGTATTTTGTGTTTACTATGTGCAAATATAACCCTCTACTTTTAACATAAATGGCTAGACAGGGCCAATTCGGTTGTTTTGCAGGATGGTTGGTAAATGTGCTGGGAAATACTTTGTTTGTGAATGTAGTTGGCTACCTGCCTCCATACTGTTCACATATGAGGAAGCCCCATAGATTATTGTAATGTTTATCGGATTTCTAAAAATTGGTGAATGTGGTAAGCACCCCAGCAGTTTTAAAGTTTTCCCACAAGTAAATGTGAAAAAAAAAATATAAATAAAGACCTGAAAAAAGAAATATAGAGAAGATGCTGGTATAACATATGTGCAGTTTTTGTCCTGTTTCACTTTCTGCATGGACAAATACATGCATTTTTATCTTTTTCTTGTAGCCAGAGGAGAAAATGGCAAACAACATAAAGAGCTTGAGTGTAAAAAAATACATAAATAAATAATAATTAAAAATAAATATACAGTGGGGCAAAAAAGTATTTAGTCAGCCACCAATTGTGCAAGTTCTCCCACTTAAAAAGATGAGAGAGGCCTGTAATTGACATCATAGGTAAACCTCAACTATGAGAGACAAAATGAGAAAAAAAATCCAGACAATCATATTGGCTGATTTGGAAAGAATTTATTTGCAAATGATGGTGGAAAAGAAGTATTTGGTCAATATCAAAAGTTCATCTCAATACTTTGTTATATATCCTTTGTTGGCAATGACAGAGGTCAAACGTTTCCTGTAAGTCTTCACACGGTTGGCACACACTGTTGCTGGTATGTTGGCCCATTCCTCCATGCAGATCTCCTCTAGAGCAGTGATGTTTTGGGGCTGTCGCTGGGCAACACAGACTTTCAACTCCCTCCAAAGGTTTTCTATAGGGTTGAGATCTGGAGACTGGCTAGGCCACTCCAGGACCTTGAAATGCTTCTTACGAAGCCACTCCTTTGTTGCCCGGGTGGTATGTTTGGGATCATTGTCATGTTGGAAGACCCAGCCACGTTTCATCTTCAATGCCCTTGCTGATGGAATGAGGTTTGCACTCAAAATCTCACGATACATGGCCCCATTCATTCTGTCCTGTACATGGATCAGTCGTCCTGGTCCCTTTGCGGAGAAAAAGCCCCAAAGCATGATGTTGCCACCCCCATGCTTCACAGTAGGTATGGTGTTCTTTGGATGCAACTCAGCATTCTCTCTCCTCCAAACACGACGAGTTGTGTTTCTACCAAACAGTTCTATTTTGGTTTCATCTGACCATATGACATTCTCCCAATCCTCTTCTGGATCATCCAAATGCTCTCTAGCAAACTTCAGACGGGCCCGGATATGTACTGGCTTAAGCAGGGGGACATGTCTGGCACTGCAGGATCTGAGTCCCTGGTGGCATAGTGTGTTACTGATGGTAGCCTTTGTTACGTTGGTCCCAGCTCTCTGCAGGTCATTCACTAGGTCCCCCAGTGTGGTCCTGGGATTTTTGCTCACCGTTTTTGTGATCATTTTGACCCCACGGGGTGAGATCTTGCTTGGAGCCCCAGATCGAGGGAGATTATCAGTGGTCTTGTATGTCTTCCATTTTCTAATTATTGCTCCCACAGTTGATTTGTTCACACCAAGCTGCTTGCCTATTGCAGATTCAGTCTTCCCAGCCTGGTGCAGGTCTACAATTTTGTTTCTGGTGTCCTTCGACGGCTCTTTGGTCTTCACCATAGTGGAGTTTGGAGTGTGACTGTTTCAGGTTGTGGACAGGTGTCTTTTATACTGATAACAACTTCAAACAGGTGCCATTGATACAGGTAATTAGTGCAGGACAGAGGAGCCTCTTAAAGAAGAAGGTACAGGTCTGTGAGAGCCAGAAATCTTGCTTGTTTGTAGGTGACCAAATACTTATTTTCCACCATAATTTGCAAATAAATTCTTTCCAAATCAGCCAGTGTGATTGTCTGGATTTTTTTTCTCATTTTGTCTCTCATAGTTCAGGTCTACCTATGATGCCAATTACAGGCCTCTCTCATCTTTTTAAGTGGGAGAACTTGCACAATTGGTGGCTGACTAAATACTTTTTTGCCCCACTGTATATATATACTGTATATATACATACACTATATTGCCATATATATATATATATATATATATATATATATACACTATACAGCCAAAAGTATTGGGACACCCCTCCAAATAATTGGATTCAATCACCTCCACGGCCACAGGTGTTTAAAATGAAGCACCTAGGCATGCAGACTGCTTCTACAAACCTGTGCAATAAGTCCATCCGTGAAATTTCCTTGCTACTAAATATTCCATGGTCAAATGTTAGTGGTACTATAACAAAAGTTGAAGCAACTGGGAACAACAGCAACTCAACCAAAAAGTGGCAGGCCACGTAAAATGACAGAGCATTTTACTAGCCAACTGTGTCAAAGTAATCCTTCTATGGCCAGTCCTACTCTGCTCTGCCTACGCAAATGCTACTGTGGATACAATGCCAATATAGGGGAAAAGACAAAGTGGGGGAGATGTACCAGGTTTAAACAGCTTAAACATGTATTGCAATATGTGTGAACCAAATATCCCTATTCTTTATTGCAAAGTCTGCTGGAGTATGCAGTGTGCAGAGGGTCCTTCAGAATTTCTAGTGTTACTATATGGTTACACCCCTTTAGCACCTGATAGATAAATGCATGTACTAGCTATTGGGATTTGAGCACAGGTATGTCTTGTTGGTTGTATTGTAGGTCAGTAGCCAGACCTAAACCTGGTAGCTCTCCCCCACTTTGTCTTTTCCCCTATATTGGTCTTGTGTCCACATTAGCATTTGCGTAGGCAGAGCAGAGTAGGACTGGCCATAGAGGGCTTAAATATACAATTAACATAAATTCATTTATAAATGTGAATTAAAAAATTATATGTGATTATAACAAATATTAATAAAAAATTAATGAAAAATTGGAATGTCAATTCTATGTGAATAAAATTAATAAAAATATCCCGGATAAGACACTATGTTTCTTTTCCCTTCTCTGCATGTTCTGTATATGGAGGAATAAACAAAGCAGCCAGTGAAGAAAGCACAATTGAGAAGGCTGAGCTGAGGAGAGAGGAGAGGAGACAAGAGGGAGAGGTTCAAGCTGCGAACACAGACTCATCACATTAACTAAATTGAATAACAACTCCATCTCAAATTCAAAGAAAATAATTGACATTCCCATTTTTTATTAATGTTTTATTAATTTTTTATTAATTTTTTTTATTATTTTTATTAATTTTATTCACATAGAATTGACATTCCAATTTTTCATTAATTTTTTATTAATATTTGTTATAATCACATATAATTTTTTAATTCACATTTATAAATGAATTTATGTTAATTGTATATTTAAGCACCATAGAAGTAAGTAATGATTGGATTATAGGTGGTATATTAAGAAATTCACACAATCAAAAAAGGTCAATCACAAAGGTTGATAATATTGGAGCTCGGTACAGTACAAGAATTCATAGTTTATATTTATACACCTAGAGAGGGTGTAATTAGTGCCTAGCGAT